AGACCATAATGTCCAACATCTGAATAACAGGAGTGTCAGCAAGAGAAAGCAGAGAAATGGGAAGCATCAAAGGAGTCATTCAAGAGAAAAGACTAGAAGTGAAGACATAATGTGTTACTGGTTGTGCCTGAAAGATGAGATTATGGATGCCTTTTTTCCCCTCTTCTACATTTTTCTTTATTTTCCAAATTTTCTGTGACAAATATCTTTGAAAATTAGGGGGAAATGTGTGGTTTCAATATCGCCCACATTGCCCTAGAACATTAACTCACAGGTGGTCCCATTTTCAATAGAATGAATGTGTGAAAAGGAGCATGTCGAAAAGGCAACCTAAGTTCAATCATTTAATCAGAAATTATGTCACCAGGACAAAGTCAGACTCATTTTCCTGCCTGTAGGAAAATGCTCTCCCAGAGGGCCACCCAAAAACAGGCCACGGGGCTATGTTGAGTGTTCAATTTTTATTCTCATTTGAGCTTCTTTCTTTATTTCCTGAACACTCATTATTCTACATGAATTCCTCTGGGGTCTTTTGGACTGTCAGCCCCTGGCAAACCAGCATACAAACCGTTCTGTTCTGTAATTCTCTACGTGTGGCTGAGCTGTTCCTATACTTGCTCAACCCTGCATCCTAGTGTCGCTCTTACGAAAAGATCTGGAGCTGAGAAAACTTCCGGACGTGAGGAGACTTTTTGGTAGCTGCTGACCTTTTGCCGTGGGGGCCGTTTTGGGGCTGCCATTACCTCCTACAAGTGTGTGAGCCCACAGCATTACCAGGGGAAGGTGTGAGCATGAGCTCTGGGGGTGAAGAAGGAGGTGTCGAGCTTTCCTGTTGGTTCTATTGTGGTACTTTCTTGGAAAAAATCCAGTGCAGATGTTGAGAGCCAAACCACAGAATGCATCTGTGATCTAACTTCCAGACACTTTTGTCATTGTAATTTAATGGCTATTATTAGTTTGTTAGAAACATTTTAGATGACAGGTGTTATGTTTTCATTGTTTAACTTTTTTTTAATGGAAAAATTCAAACATATCCAAAAGTAGAGTAACCGTATAGCAGTGGCCGCTGTCCCCATCAGCCAGCTCCCACAGTGTGTCGGTGCGTGGTCCATCTTGTAGCCCTGCTCCCATCCGCTCCTAACCCCCACCCCCTGGATTATTTTAAAACAAATCCCAGGCATCATATCATTTCATACAATAATGTCTAGTACATATCTCTTAAAATACAAGCATTCTTTTTAAAAAGAACCACATTGTCATCACGCCTAAAGAAATTTTTTTCTTATCCTCAAATATCCAGTTAGTGTTCAATTTCCTCAATTGTCTCAGACACTATTTTTATAAATAGGTTTTTTTTTTTCCTAAATCAGGATCCAAATAAAATCCACGTGTGGGTTGATGTGTTTCTTCAATATTTTTTAAATCCCTCCCCATGTATTTTTATTTTTCCTTGCAATTTATTTGTTGAAGAAATTGAGTCATTTTTCCTCTCTACCTTTGAAAAGAGTAGTGAAGTTCCAGATTACTAGTACTGTTTCAAAATTGTGACGAAAGCTCTATATTAAAAAAATACAGCATTGAAGAGGTTTATTCCATCTGTCTAATTAATAATCACCTTCCCATCGAGGCCCTCCCTGGCCACCCCGTGTGCAATTCCACTATCCCCCAAACCCTCGGTGCCTTACATCCTTCTCTCTCGTTTTATGTTTCTCCTCGACGCCTAGCACTACCTTACACGCTGTATATTAGTATATCTGACTTTTGTATTGTCTGCCTCCCCTCTAGAATGCAAGCTCCAGGAATGCAAGGGTTTGTGTGTTTTGTTCTCTGCTGTCTCCCCAGCACCTGGGTAGATGAATGAAGAAACATCGAGGCGGGTGGAAACAGTGAGGATGGCTCTATGGAGGAGGGGCAGTGGGATGCAAAGTGTAACAAGAAAAGCATCTCCATGCACTTCATTGATTTCTGGTATCCGCCAGAATCAGATCCCTATGAAGTTCTGTCAGAAGCTCAGATGATGAATATCTTATCTTTTGCTCATCCCTCAGTGACGGAGGGACCTCTGTGTCGATGCTGGCTCAGTCTGTTGGTCCTTTCACCCCATCACAGGCTCAGGACCCATCAACCATAGGCTGGTTTGACCAGTTTTATCAACAGAGCCTGCGTTATTTGTGGGTGGGAGACTAGTCCTTTCAGATCATCACCAACAGGCTGCAAAAGTGCTCTTAACAAGGATGATAGTCTGAAACAGTTTATCTTGATTCAAAGCATGTTTCCCAACCCATAGTGTGGTTGGGTGGCAGGCAGACTGGGAAACCAGAGACTGTCCTAGAATACAGCAGGAAAAGCCTGAGTGAGTCACCACTGTGCTATTAGCCAGTGATGTAGCCTCAACCAGGTCCCTCCACTATACCTTAGTGTTCTTGTCTATAAAATGGGGGTAATACCCTTTCACCTCTGCAGGGTTGTTGTGAGCTTTTGTAGTTGTTGTGAGCTTTTTCTGCTGTCTGGTGATGCAGGAATGTTAGCACAAATCCTCCAGTCAGCCTGCGTGAGAAGGCATTGTGCTGGCCACTCCAGGTGAGGTTGGGACAGCAGTGCCTGAGGAGACAGAGGCCTACTTCTCCTCTGGGCCAGGGAAGGCCTAAGCTAACTGGGGAGGGAAGTATGGCTAAACCTTAGGGCCCGCTCACCTGCTTGGGGGTAGGGAGAGGAGAGGCATTTCAGCTGTTTTAGCTGTGTGGCGCTGACAGGTCTTCTCTGACCATCCCTCCTTGCCTGTGGGCCTTGGCAACCTCAGCAGAGAGACTTGGAACAGAACGAGGGACAGGAAACCCCACACTGGGCTGACTGTATTCCAAGGCATTGTTTTAAGAGCATTTCTAGCTTTGGTGATTAGGTTCTTGCCACACTGACAGTGTGTCACTGGTACAACTCATCCTCGTTCCTAGAACCCCATTCCTAGTCTGGATGTGTGCTTATTCCAGTAAGATGTGAGACGTGCTGTGAAGGGAGCACATGGCAGTGATGAGGATGCCAGTCAACCCCCTTCCTGCTGTCCCATTGTGCCTCAGGGAACCACATTTGCGTCTCCATGGAGAGCATCATGTGTTTATTTCTCTTGGGTGGAGATTATGATTTTTACTACTGCTGAGACCAGACCAATAGATTTAGAATATTTTCTGGGCTCTATGAAATCCAGAAAGGACCCCTGATTTTTCATTGTTTGTTTTTGCTTTATAGGTTCATGCTGTCCAGTAAGGCAGCCATGAGCCATGAGTGACTATTTAAGTTTAAATTCGAATTAAAAATTTAAATCCAACTCCTCAGTCACACTAGCCACATTTCACGAACTCAATCGGCAGGTGGGGCTGGTGGCCACAGTATTATGGAACATAATGCACAGTGCAGATCGTGGAACATTTCCATCATAGAGGAAAGTTCTGTTGAACAGCACTGTAAACGTTCCTACTCAAAGGTCGATGAGGTGCATGTGTGTGGTGATGGGTTGTAATTAGTATTTTGGTGGTGAACATGATGTGGTCCATGCAGAAATAGAAGTACAATGATGTACACCTGAAATTTTTACAATGTTATAAACCGATGTTACTGCAATAAACAAAAAATTTAAAAAAAAAAAAAAAAGGTCGATGAGCGTGGGGAGGGAGCTTCAGAGCATGGAGGAGAAAGATGAGTGGCAAACAATGAAAAATAAGCTATTGCAAGTTTTACCTCATGTTCTTCTCATGGTAAAACACTTCTCAAAGTACTTACTTCCGGGGAAGACTTGAGGTTCCCTGTGTTGATGCATTCCGTTAGAAGATTGTCTCCAGAGCGCTCTCAACTATTCAGTTGTTCATCACCTTTTAGCATGTTGTCAGGGACACAAGGTGCTCACTGCTTAGCCAAGGAATGGCTCCTTCCTGCTCTGACTCCGTGCTCTGCTGGAAGGTCCCTATGGGAAGAGCGTGAGATTAGCAACTTGCATAGCAATTTGTCATTTCTGAGTTACTGCGAAAGAAAATTCTTATCACTCTTGGTTTGCCATTTGTGATTCTACTAAAACAAGAAAAAAGAAACCCCTAGATCAAACAGATGCTTTTCTAGAATGTCAACTGCAAGCTTTTCTGTTCTAGCTGGTGGAGTCTTAGCGGCAGAGCCTGGACTAGGTGAGGCAGGGGAGGCATCCAGGGCACGGATTTAGGGAGACACTCACATTCGGGTGCAGACCTTGTACCTGCACAGGCCCAAGAGTAAGGGTCTCCTTAAATTTCGCATCCTGGACTCCTGGCTTACCTCACCCTAGTCCCTTCCAGGCTGGCTCTCTTTACCATTTATCACTCAGTCTGGCAGACTCGCTGCATTGGTTCTAGGGATTCTGGACTTGTCCATAGCTCTTTTATCACATGCAGCCTCCTGCTATATCTGCATCTCACGCCTCAGGGAGGAGCTGTATCTCTTTGCTCTTTGAGTACCTGGCCCAGAGTGGAGGACAAATAAGTGGGTAATGGATCAGGGAGCAAATCAGCCTGCCAGGGATCAACTCGAATTAAAGTCAAGAACTCTCCTGCCTTCAACTTTTCCATTAACAGTTCAGAGAATGTCCTGCATTGTCCCCTGCCAAGCTGCACATTTCAGCACAGCTGAGTCCTCTCTGCACACGGGAAGCTGAGAGGCCTCTCATCAGCGTGGCTGTGGGTGGCCACCGTTCCTTCCACTTGCCCTTCCCCGGAACCCTATCATTTCAGCGTCAGGCGGAGTTACTCCACTAGAAAGCTCGGTCTCTGAGAATGGTTCTCCTTCCCCCTCTCTCCTCCAGCCCTGCTTCCTTCCTCCAGAGTCCATGTCACGCGTCACACCGCAGCCAGGCTGTCCTCAGAGCACGTGGCTGGGCCTGGGTGTGTCATGATTTGGGGGGAACTGGGTAAAGAAGCAACTGCCTGGGGCTTGAAATTCCCTGTGTGAGCTCTGCTACATGCTTCCCCTTTCTGCCTCCACAGAGCGTGTTGAAGAAGAGGGACCAAGTGCAAGCAGAGTACGAAGCCAAACTGGAAGCTGTGGCCCTGAGGAAGGAAGACCGGCCCAAGGTGGGGGAAGGCCTGGGGAGGGGTGGGCTGCTCTGGGCTGTCAACTGTGATCGCCCCCGCTGGTGCTAAGTGAATTCTTGTCCCCAGATAGTGCGACTAAGCTGGTGAGGGCCAGTCGGGCTGTGTTGTTGCTGTTCTTTTCCTCCCTTTTATGTCTTATTTCTGGGAGCTCCTAGTGTGCACTTGGGGTTGAGTTTGCTGCTGTTTCCCTGGGATTTTTTTTTTTTTAAGACTCCCAGCTCTGCCATTCATGGGCAGTTCCTCTCTCTGTAAAATAGGATTGAGGAGAAAGGGGAAGAACAGTCTAGATCAGTGTTCTCAAAAGTGTGGTTTGTGGACTGATCCACAGACTGGTACCAATCCATGACGAGAAACGCACAGAAGCTGAGAGTAAGCGCTTTTATAGCCATTTGATATTTGTCAAACAGTCCAGATGAGTGTTGTCAAACTAGCGTGGTGAGTTGCATGCGGAGCAAGCTGCATACTAGTTCTGCATAGTAGGACTACAGCTTGGTTGTATTATGGGAAAAAGCCAACAGAAAGTGGTCCTTTACCACAAAGTTTGAGAAGCAGTGATCCAGCTTGTTTCTGACACCTTCCAGTTCCAATGCTGTGGGTCTAGATAGAGGACCACAGTTGTAAAAATGCACCTGTTGTTTGGTCACTCCCATCTGTTACCTTTCTCTTCCTCAGCCAGGATTAAAAACAAGAATAATAATAACCAACATGCAAGTGCTTACAATGTGCTAAGCACCTTATATTTATGTCATTTATTCCATACAACAATCATGTGGTTTAGGTACCATTTTTATTCCCAATTGAGAGATGAGCAAACCAAGGCCCAAGATCACACAGCTAGCCAGCAGTAGAGCCAGGATCACATCCTGCAGGCTGACTTGAGAGCCTTACCAGTTACCATTACGTTACTCTGCTCCTTTTTGTTTGTAATTGGAAGGTGTATTTGTTTTTTTTGTTTTTTTTTCCAAAAAAGGGTGGGTTAGGGAATGTTATTAAAAAGATGAATAGCAGGGGCCCAAGTTTCAGAAAAATAATTTGACATCAGAACTGTTTGTTTCAGAACTGTTTTTTCTCTGCCTTGGTTCTCGCTGGCGCTGCCCTGCCGAGATATGCCTGGAAAGGAACCAGCTTTGGGAATTTGTAACTCAACCCTCAGAAATGACACACCTTGACTCCATATAGTATTTTTTTATATTATTGCTTCACATGATTGCCACAGCAGTCATCTGGGGCCCAGAGGGAAGGTGTTGTTCTTTCCCCGGTTCATGGATAATGAGATGAGGCACGGAGCAGCTCAGTAAATGCCCAGCTTTGTTGAAGCCGAAGGTCTTTATCCCACGTGCTGGACGCAGCAGGCAGACAGTACGTGCCTGTTGCATTGCTCCGTGTGTCACCCATAGTGATCTACACAAGTGAGTGAAGGCTGCATACATCTTACGGGAAGTCAGATGATAAGGATTGGGACCGTTGTCACTGGTCTAGTGTCTGCAGCTGGGACTTGGCCAGAGAGCCAGGCACCCTCCCTTTTGTTGCTCTTGCCACAGACTGTCGGCCTTCTTCCAACCCCTGTCACAAAGGAGGTCATGATAGAAATGCAGCTGTGTGCACAGTTGCCCTCTGTCTTCCAGCTGCCTGTCCTGTTGCTTAGTTCCTAGCTGTCCCTGTGATATTCTGGAATATGGTGCCATCTGCTGAGCCCATGTCTGAGTCTCATTTAAAGGAATGACATGGAATACTGTGTTTATATATTTAAAAATTTCTAATGATTTAGCTTCCCAATATAAATATGGAAGTCACCTTTCCTGACTAGGGAGGGAAGTAGAGACAGCAAGTTCTGCCACTGACCTAGTTTGGAAGCTGAAGATCTTGTGTTTAGAAGATGTCACCTAAATAGTTCTGCCGGCATTCGTACCTGCTCAGCACTGAATACGAGCTTTCTCCGAGGCAGGTTTTGTCATTTAATATATGTTCAGCCCTATGTGGGACAGTTCCTTTCCAAAGACAGGAACTGAAGGTTATGAATAATGGGCCAAATAAAATGTTGACTGTGCCCTGACTTGCTGGCGGCCTGAAGGTCACACCTATCTTGGAGCAGATGGAACAGCTGTTTCTGGCTCGCACATTCCACCCAGCTGAGCTGTGGGGCTCCCCCTCATGCTCTGCCCTTCTTGCTGTCCTGGGTGACTTCCTTCTCCTCCCAGTGGTGTTCTTCCTGCTCCTGCTGTTCTCACCTCCCTGGAGCATCACTTACCCCTATGACTCATTCTCTTGGCCACGAGAGTTGTTACAAGGGGCGGAAGGGTTTCTTTCCAGCCAATGAGACTAACCAGTAGGTTCCAAACACACCTACGTTCTCTTAGCACACTGGGGTGGGCAGTCTTCATCTTCTCTCTTTCTGGTGGGATACTGAGCCATGCCAAAGTTAATTTTGCTACTTATTTAGCAGTTGTGGTATTTAACAACAAAGCAGGGGCTGTCATGATGGCGATGTACCAGTGAGTGTGATCTGACAGTGAGGGCAGCAGAAATTGTGCCGCCAGTTTTGGATCTGGGGCGGCAGCTACTTTGGTGGGCAGAGGAGGGCTTGGTTGGCGGCCTGTCCATGTTGACCATGGTTTTGTAGAAAGAGCACAGGCCTTAGAATGAGATGGCTGTGGGGGCCCTCCCCAGTGACATAGTGGTTAAGTTCGTGCATTCCGCTTCAGTGGCCTGGGGTTTGCCGGTTCAGATTCTGGGCGCGGACCTACTCACCGCTCATCAAGCCATGCTGAGGCGGCATCCCACGTAGAGGCGCTACAGCTCTACAACTAGGATATACAACTATGTACTGGGGGCTTTGGGGAGAAAAAAGAAAAAAAGAGGAAGATTGGCAACAGATGTTAGCTCAGGGCCAATCTTCCTCAAAAAGAAAAAAGAAAAAAATCAGACGGCCCTGGGTTCAAATCCCAGCTGTGCTGGGACTGGTTTGCTCATTAGCCTTTGAGGGGCTCATACATGTGACTGCTGTGAAGATGTGAAGATCGGCATTGTCTGATATAGTAACAGATGCTCTGTTGGTGGGGCCTCTGTTTACCATACCAGTACCAGTTGTCCCGGTAGGAATGCTGAATGAGAACTTGTTTTCTGGGTTTGTTGCCACTTATGTTTTTTTTAATTAAAATTTTTTTCTGACTGCACTGTTTTGGGCATTGTTTCTTGTGTCTTAAAGCTTCCCCTGCTCACCCACTCCTCCTGAATGCCTATCCTCTCTGACCACCTATCAGCAGGTAGAGAGACGGCTAGGAAATGAGTAGCTTAAGGTTTTGCTGTGCTTTGTTTTATGTGGTTCTAGACCACACAAAACAGTGGGTTGAGCCCACTTTCCAGAGCTGCTGTCGGTGAGATAAAAGTCAGGGTATCAGGAAGTGGGTCAGGGCTCATTCCACCCCAAGGACTCATTGAGTTCTACTGTTAGTAACTATAGTGGGAGTAAGATTGTTCACAGGTCCATCGCAGGGATGCAGGGGAGGAGAGGATTCCTGCCGAAAGGTGGGCAGTTTTCACAGGAGAGGGCCCTGGGTCTGGGCATGTTAACAGAAGATCTGAGGCCTTAACTTATTTTGAGGTGAAATCTTGAAACGTTGCTCTGAAGAGTGAGGGAAGCTTGATTTTTGTGAAGTCACAGAGTGGTATCAAAATCTGATCGCTCCTCTGTAACCCAGAAGAAGAAAGTGGCCTCGTGCGTCTCCATGACCCTCACTGCACATTTCGCACTGGGCTGGACATCTTAGGACAAAGGATGAGCCCTGTGGCTCCAGCCGCTGGACTGGAGCCCTTTGGCTGCGGCTTCTCAGTGTGTGCCGAGGGCATGCAGTGATGAGGCCTTGAGAGCTGAGGGAAAACGTTAGCATGTAGAATTTGAAGTTTGGCTTTGTTTTTAGGTTGAGGAAACTCAGCAGGCCTTGAGGTGGTTTATTCTCAGGCAGATGGAGCTTCGTTGTGTCGACTTGGCTTTCCTCATTATAATTTTGAAGTTAGAGAAATTGTGGGCACTTAGTAGGGCGCCAGCTGCCTTCTGCTGCATCTGTCAGGACCACAGACTTGTATAAATCTGAGTATCTGACCCTCCTTAGAAGCCAGGGAGGCTATCAGAGCTGTTACTAGAAACAGAGAGGCCGAGGACATGCATGTAAAACTGGATGGGAAGCAGACGTACCCTAATGTGCACAGGAGGGTACACTGTGGAGGGAACCTGCACATTTTACGCTATTCTGCATTTGACTCTGTTCAATGCTAATATATTCATGAGCTGCTGGTTCAGAAAAGAACAAAGAAGGGATGCCAAGAGAGAATGCTTTATAAAAATCTGAGAATTACCTTCAAAAGGTAAAAAAAAAAACAAAAAAACAAAAAATGGTGGAGGGGTTATTTTAGGCCCTGGCCCTCAGGTGGCCTTGTACTGGGTATGGTGCTGGGTGAAGAGGTTGTTGGAGACAGGTGGTGTCATTGTGGAGGTGAGAAGGTGTGTGGTGTGGAGGTGGAGGGTAGTGGAAAACAGGTATATTGAGCGGTTGCTTCTCAGGTTGAGCCCAGTTGGGGAGGGGAGGTAGAATGTGGGATCGCTTGGACAAACTTCTTGAAGGCTGTGGACTTTTAAAAGCTCTTGGAACTACCAGAATGGTTAACATTCTGGAATGGGGAAGTTGTGGCAGACAGCAAGAACTCTATTCCAAAGTGCCAGACAGGAACAGGGAGACTTCTTAATCTGGAGCTTCTACTGACCTGCGAGTTAAGCATGCATACCTGTTGTTACCACACGCTTTTGACAATGAGGAGAGACAAGCCTGATGTTTCCCAGTTCTCTTCACAGCAGCCATGATGTCAACCTGGGTTAGAAAGCCAGACCAGTGAGGCAGAGGTCACATCAGCCAGAGAAGGGCAGGAGTCTGCCACCTCCCTTATCTTGCTTAATTCCTACAACAGCCTCTATCAGTGTGGTTGTT